GACTTGTCATTATCCTCCCTTGTATTTATCCATATGTTGTAGTTATCCTAATCATTATAGGATTAGGATAATCATCCCCTTTATTGTTGTAATCCTTATCTCCTAAGGAATATGCTTATTCTCTTGTATGTATATATATGTATGTGCACGTGATGAATAAGATATACAGAGTTACAACCTTCTTCTTTATTTCACAACAACCTTATTGTTGTTCACACAGTTTTATTACATTTTGAACATGAACACACGTACTAAAAGGTTTTTTTTTAAAAAAAATTGTTGAATAGAAGTTATTTTAACGGAAAATTAAAAAGTTGACGCGCGTATACCATATTGTTAAATTATAACTGTTTTATTAGTAGCATTATTTGTAGACTTTTAAACTATATTGAGTCTATATGCATACCTAACTAATTCAAACATACCTACTTGAATGGAATAATAATTCTGAAAGTGACATATTAGCATTATATAAATGGTCGGTCGATTGATAAACCTAATACGAACACTTTAAATAATTGTTCAAACAAAATATAATAATACTGTTTTGACATTATTAGGTTATTTAATAGAGAAAAGGAGAATCTGTGTCGTCATCCCACGGTTGCAAATTAATTAACTAAAATTAAAGAAGCTTTCCACTTTGGAAATTTGGAATTACAGTCACAAATCGCAACACAGCAAAGTACAATGATTAATATTCAAATGTTGATTCTGGGAGTTTATGTGAAATTCAACTATCAACACTTAAATTTAATATGGTTCACTATTAAATTATTTGACCACTTGGAGTATACAGTATTTTGTTTGTTATTTTACATTAATCTTCAGTGAGTTCTGGAGACTTTAGGTAATAACCGTAAATAGATAATTGGATGTTCTACAGAACGTCCAAGATCATTATATATAATCTCAATTACTCAATACAAATTATAATCAAATGAATCACAGATACAAGAGTCAACATGATGCTATCTACCGATAATATCTGTAAATATTGATTGAAATTTCAACGAAATTAACTATTACTGTCGATGATGTGACAAGGAGTAGATGACGGCGCTGGAAAATATGCGATACAAATCAACAAAACAAACTATAACGTCACGTGAAACATAAGACAATCTCGATCTTTAATGTTAGAAACTTGTGGATCCTTGCTGCCAAACGAATCACGATTCCACTCTAGTCGCTAACAAACATGTCTTCTGTATTCCTTTTGTGTGTATATGTTCAAGATTTTAGATAAAAAAAATGTGTGTTTTAATAAGTTTTTAAACAAAATACACCAAGATTTTGTGTAGATACACATGCAATCACGTCGTCAAAAACTGACCGGAACAGCATTTTGCTATCATCAGACACTTTAAAACATGAGGAGCTCAACCGAAAAAACTGTTTATGGAACTTGCCTCACTTTCATGTACGCTATGTATGTACAATGCATATTGATGCCTTTCGTGCATTATAAACGACAAGGCAGTCGACAATTTATAATAAAACGAAGAGGAGTGAAGGACGATATTTTTTTTTTAAATGTCATTGCTTGATTATTTTAAAGTTATTTTATCAAAATAATAGAGAATATCGTAACATATATGTCCTGAACATTTAAAAAAAAACATATGTTGTGAAAATAACACAAAGACAACTCATCAAAACAAAAGAAGACAGAGAGAAAGACAGACGTGACGTTGCATTGGCACGTAGGACATGACATTGCTACTTAATCATGATGACATGGCGACAGATGACAATGGTTCCACCTAAAATTAACACTTTACCTACATTACCGTTTGATTATCACTAAATCACGTTTTTACCCTTGACAGCCATTGTCGCTTGTTATCGACCATACCATAGTACCATTTGGATCAGTTCTATAAAATCCAGTTGTCTCCATGTTTCCTTTATTATCAAAAACATAAATTTTCATTACATTTTACTTTTGTTTTTTCGGTGTTTGAATAAAATATTAATCACCTTTTCTTCCGTCCATTCGCTATCAGATAATTATTTTGTTTTGTTCGCTATTATTTGTCACTATCTGACGGTCTCTATTCATTTACTACTCATATTTTTCAAAGTTGTTGTGTTTATCCTCCAATATTACCTCAAATATATTCTAGAGACCACGTTTATACCGACTGATAATAGTTCAAGAAAGAAATATCCGAATCTCTAATATAAGTGTTGTATTTATCCTCTAATATCACCTCAAATATATATATATATACTACTGTCGTTCTGTGACTCGTTTGGTTATAACTTTCTTTTTACTGAAATTTGGTGACAAGTGTATTGTTTAAATATAATAAGAAAGAAAAATAAAAGTTAGACATTGAGAAGAGACATAATGTCCTTTCACTTTCTCACTTCTTTTGACATGTATTTACTCATCGAAGTAAGAAAATAAAAACTCGACAGAAGGGCTCGTGATCCAATAATACAAAACAAGTACACTTTCACCTGTTCGTAAATTAAATCTCTACTGCAAGGCAGACAAAATTCAACTTATGTCCAAGAGATGCAACTCATATACTTTATACGTTAACACGAATTTATTTACAAATAATGAAAATACAATAATAAGAGAGATGCGAGCAGTTTACAGTGTTGGTGAATTTTTCAATATAGGTTTGTGGGCTGAGATGTACAGATTTGGGCCCGATACACTCTGTTCTCGTTCAGATTCAGTCATTGGGTATCTAATTAACATACCGTGATGGCACAACTTCTATGCAGCTCATGGAATCTGAGAGCTAACATGTTGGCTGAGAATAGATGCAGAGCGATTCTAAGGGAGGCAATGTGACAGGCTGATGTCACAATAAGTTGACACTATCGTTCTTGAGAAAGGTTTCTAATAAAAATTTTGAGCATCCATATTAGCTTATACATGTTTGGTAAACTGTAACTTAAGACTAACTCGACCCAAAAAGAGCCAAACAAAGACACAAGTATGAAAGATGCACTACATTCCTGCTTTTATTTTAGAAACAGATACTCTCAAGATGGGTTTAGGACATGGAACTAAAATAACAAAACGCAAGAGTAATCAAGTTATAACCACGCATTGTTACTCAAGGATACCAGACTGATAAAACACTGAAGACGATAGGAGTTTTTAAGTCTTGTTATTTCACTCTCACTCACTTCCTCAGATTATCTATACATCGTCCAGAAAGCATGATTCAAAGAAAACCCACCACTGCTTCAGATACTTTTAACCCTGGTACGGGTTCCCGCTGCCATCCCGGTTAGGTGGGTAGTTGTTCTGGTACTGTGGCTGCTGCTGCTGGTAGTTGTTACCTGACCATCCTGCATTTGGTGGACCTCCTCCCATGTTGTTCTGCGCTGGTGGTGCTCCTCCATAGTTCGGTGGTGGAGGTGGAGGCGCTCCTCCATAGTTTGGTGGTGGTGCTCCTCCCATGCTGTTTTGCGGTGGCACTCCTCCGTAATTTGGTGGTGGTGGTCCGCCATAGTGAGGTGGTGGTGGTACTCCTCCGTAGTTTGCTGGAGGTCTCTGTCCTCCCATGTTGTTATGTGGCGGTGGTGGTCCTCCATAGTTAGGTGGAGGCCTTTGTCCTCCCATGTTTGGTGGTGGTGGTGGTCCACCGTAATTCTGCCCCATGGGAGGTGGAGGAGGTGCAGAGCCTCCCATAGGAGGACGTTGGGGAGGAGAGCCTCCTGCCATGTTCTCTCTTCTCCTCTCAAAGTTTCTGCTTCCATCAAATTTTTTTGGACGGTCATTGCGCCTGTTTCTTTCATTAGCTCTTGCGTTGTTCCTTATCCATTCCTCGTGGTACTTTGGATCATAAGGAACAGCTTTCCCATCAATGAAAGGTTCTCCTGAAAGCCAATGAATTAAGTTAAGTCTCTAATGAAATCACTATAAAGATGTAAACTCTCAACAAATAGACATCAATGTGAAATTCTACTACACAAGTCGGAAAACTGATATGCACCCAGAGTTATTTCAAAAAGTGTTAGTTAATTAGTAACAGAAGTTCGCCAAATGTTCCTATCTAATACAAGTGCCCTGAAGCAAGAAACGAATCAGAGTTGAAGAAAAGTTAACTAACCAACAAAGCGAAAACTAAACAACAGATACTTGCCCTTATCAACAGTTCAGAACCAGTAAGTAAAATGGAATAACAAAGCAACTCTACACACTAAGTATTACCTCCATAGTCTTTGTTCCTCACATCAAGGTAAGAATCAGGAAGAACCCAACGCACCTTCGGCAACTCTGTACAGATACAAAAAGCAATTGGAAAACCTTAAATTGGGAAAAAAGTAAAACCAAAAAAGGTAAAATCACCTTTAAGCTTGTGAGAGAGATCTTCAGACACGAGAGCTCCAAAAGCAAAGTAACACCTAGTCGAAACAGAGTAGATCTTCATCCTCGCTTCTTCTTCACTACAACATTCAAAAAAACCAGACACAAGTGTTTCAAAACAGATTCCAACTAAACTAAACAGATCACCTCATATAATCTTAAACCCTAAACCCTAAACCATTTCCATAAAGGAACAGACTTTTTGGAAATTAGGGTTTTACCTGCCAACAATCTGAGCTAGGGTTTTGATATAACTATCAATAATCTCATCTCTCGTGGGATCTCCCTCAGGCGGATCCACAACCACAAGCCAATGCTCGAAATCGCAACCATCGAGCAAAATCGTCTCCTTCGGTGGCCTATTCGACCAGTTCGGGTTCGGATCGTTCAGAGAAGACGACGTAGCCTGCGAGGAAAGACCTTTGACGGACACAAATCCACCGCGGAAGGCGGAGGATAAGGCGGCGACGAGGGGACGGGACCGGGTAAGGAGAGAAGTCGCCGGAGTTTTGGCGAGAGGAGCAGATGATGAGGCGAAGGAACGAGTGAAGAGAGAGGAGAGTGATTTCGCCGGACGGCAGAGGATGGAGCGAGAAATGGAATGCGTCGCCATGGAAGAAGATGCAAAAACCCTAGAAAATGTGGTGAACAGATTAAGGCAAGGGTTTTGCGAAGGGTTTAATAGTGTGTACTGATACGAGGGTGTTTTCGGTATTTCAGAGACGAACAAAATATCAACGAAATCTTCGGTCGTATACCTTGATTTTTTCAGATGTAACAAAAGTGGCGCACAACTTTTACATATTATCCACTACTGATATTACTGTAGTTAGCTTGCCATTTTTTTTTGTGTTTATTTTAATTAGGGGTGGGCAAAATACCCAAAACGAACCAAACCAAACCGACCCATGAAACTTAAATTGATCTAAACTGAACCAAAATATATGTCTAAATCATTTGGTTCAAGATTTTATCAACCTGAATGGTTCGGTTTAGTTTGGTTTTTAACCGAACCAAACCAAAAAACCGAAATATTTTTTAATTATATTAAGTAAGTATAGTAATAATATTAGGGTTAATATATTTAACTATTTAACCTAAATAACTAATAATCTTATATATTTTACTTCTAAATACAACTAAAAAATGAATCTATACATTAACATCAAAACTGAATATTTTTATAATTTTATATTAAGTTTGAAGATAATAATAATTTTTATTGGATTATATCTTTCTACATAGTTATTGTGATATTTGGTTTTACGTTTAAATATGAAGAAAATGCCCATCCCTAATTTTAGTACTGTATAATTTATGCCCATATCTTTGGTTTTCAAAACTCCATATCTTTGGACGTTTTCTTCAAAACTAGATCATTGGTTTTACGTTTAAATATGAAGAGAATGCCCATCCCTAATTTAGTATAATTTAACTATTTAGACGTTAATTATAATTATTGAAAATCAAGAATTTCAAAACTCCATATCTTTGGTTTTCTTCAAAACTTTCAACCGAGTAATTAGCTAAACCTATGATCTCAAGGGGTGATTCATCAATGTACCATGGCTTAATCATTTGCTTATGATAGCTGAAAGCGGTAATCAGATTTACATTACACACCGGACCTTCAAACTCGGAAGTTGATGACTGAAACTCTGCTTATCCAATCTAGAGCTACCATACATCCTTCAAACCCATGCAAAATGGGCTGCATCTTTTCTCACTCACTGCTCACCGGCAGTACAAATCCATGACCGGTGGTAGTTGGTGGTGAAGAACGCCATGGCTCTGACTTGGATTCGTCTCAGGTAATGTGCGGCGTTGGACAAACATGAAGAGGCTTAACAGAAGTGATGATTTGGAGGCGACAACGAGAACTCTTAACTTCACGTACGTGCAAATAAGAAAAGAATAACAACACATAAGAAGAATAGTAGATAAACATGGATGTACGGAAGAGATGAAGAAGAAGAAGAAGAAAAACTAGAGTTAACCTCATGAATGATGGTGATGTGGCTAGGGTCACACAAAGAGGAGATGCATACGTTTTTTGGTATATAGATTTTTTGAACTTTTAGTTAGATTTAAATGTGAAAAGGTGCCCAATGGACCAACCATAGAATCAATCTTACAACTTATGTGACTAAAACCAAATTAATAAAAGCCCTACTAAAACCAGAATTTAAAGAACCAAATTGAACCAGACAATACGATGTCCACTTGCAGCCCAAGTTAGAAACTGAAACGTGAATAAAATTAGGCGGGATCTATCGTCGATGAAAAGAGACATCCCATATTCTCAAGAATCGAATTAATGGTTTGATTCAATTCATAATTAATTAGAAAATAAAACCTAATCAAAATGAGAACTATTGATAATACAAACTAAATAAAAATATCCAAACAAATTAAAATAATATATTTAAAATATATATACATTCAAAATAAGATCAAGCATAAATACATTTTAACAATAGAGATAAATGGTCAAATGCATACAAATATAATAATTTATAATTATAAAACAAAAAAGGAAATAAAAATATTAACTACAATAATATAATGTCATAAAACACATAAGAACTAAAACATAGATATAAACAAATATCAAAGATTTAAACCAAATACATAATATTTCCGCATATATTAAAGAAATTTAACATACTCTACCTCTTAAACTGCCAGTATGATTTGTTATTGACATGCTTTAACACTCTAATAATCTATTTTTCTTTATACAATTCAATATTTGGTCAAACAAACCAATTTAAAATTTGTGAGATTACAACAAATACCCTTTGTGAAAAGCTTAATTATAATTAATTTGTAAGTATTCCGCCTAAATGACCGTAGAAAATGTGATCATGTAATGTTCAATCCAATCCTACAAATTATAATCATCAAAACCACATGTCTACTCTTGAAAGACCAAATTATATTAACTTATAATTAGCCAACCAATTATGAATTCATAGTAATCATATAACAAGAACACGACCTACATCTTATCCACCCAATATAATATGTCATTCGTTGCAATTTATTAATAACACAAATACGAAATTAAACATAATTAATCTTAAGATACATTATCCCCCACAAAACCTAGCATTGTTTAAAACGATAAACATAATATACACTACTCGGTCAAAGGTTATACAAAGAAAATATTCACTTATATAGTTATATACATTGGACGTAAAGAATATCATGCGCGTAGCGCGGACCAACCCTAGTTAGTATATATATAGAATGAATTTTACTTTAAAAATGGATGATTGCTAAATATGTGATGAGAGGAAATTTTTTAAAAGTACCATATATTCTTTAATATGTTTATAAGTATGAACTGTTGATTTTTGGAGAAGTGTTTTTGGCCAAATAGGTCATGTTATTGCAGTTTTAATTTTAACTGGAATTTGACTTCATATTCAGTATTTTAGAATGAAGGTAATTTGTTTTTATAAAATAATTTGAAATTGGTAAAATAAATCTTTTTTCTTCATACAAACCTCTCTAACTATGCGAAAAGTTAATGATTCGACCATAAACTCAGTAGAATAACCTTTGTTTATTATTCTTTTTATTTAATACATAAAATTCACACTCCATTCAAGCCAAAAGCTCACATTACAAACATAGCGACTCATCATCAACAGAAAGATACATATAAAGCCCCATTTATTCACGTCCCTTGCAGGCTCACACGTTGCATTCTTTAGAATTTACACAAGTGTTCCCTTGGCGAGCTGAACAGCTTTCTCTCGCCCGTAAAACTTCTCAACGATCGCAAGTGAAAACTCCATTGCAGTCCCTGGAGCTCTGCTCGTTATCACATTCCCGTCCACAACAACTCTGTGCTCAACGTGACTCTGGTCTGACAGTTTGCTGCTCACCGCTGGGTGTGTAGTTGCCTTCTTACCCTATATACAAATTAACTTGTCTTATATTATATCTCATTTTTTAATAATAACAAAAGAGAGATACTTAACGTTTTCACAATTCATGTACCTTGAGTAAACCATGATTCTCTAAGGCGTAGACAACTGATGCGCATATTCCTCCGTAAGGTTTGTTTGCTTCAGCTTGTTTCTTTAACATGTTCACTAGTTTCTCGCAACTTGCTAATCTTGGAGCACCGTTAAGACCTCCCTGGATGTGTTACATCAAAGAAGTTAGCTTTTTTTGTTTTTGTTATATTTTAGAATGAATGTATTTGAAAGTAAAGCTACTCACAGGCAACACAATCAGATCAAACGACTTCTCTGCAACCTCATCAAGAAGCACATCTGCTACTAACTTAGCTTTGCGAGATCCTACAACTTCTAAACTGTTACCAACTGCAGCAATCACGACATTTGCTTTTACCCTCCTAAGGATATCTACGAGCGCAATAGCTTCGATTTCCTCTGAGTCCTCTGCAATAGGAACAAGAACCTGAAACAGGAAAAGATTATCTTTCTGACTTTTGTCCATCAAAACAGAGAATGTCTAAGAGTATGTTAATGAACCACATAAGTACCTGTGGAGTATCTTCAAACGACCAGGTCGTTTGGTTAAGGTCGGTGAAGGTAAACTCCTCACCAGGATTAGGACGAACCATCTGATGTCAAATAACAGAACAAGTAAGTCTAGGAGGAGAAAACAGAGCAAAGTTTGAACTCAATAGCTTAATTACTATGCTGCTTCTAATTGAAATCAATCACAGAGATTAATAAAAAAAGACATACCAAGATACGTGAGACTTCATCAGCTTTCTCTTTACCAAACAACTGCTCAATAAGAGTGATGGAGAATTCAATGGTGGTTCCTGGTCCTCTACTTGTTACAATCCTTCCATCTATCTCCACTCTTGACTCACTTGCAGTGGCACAAGTTGCCGCCAGTTTCTCCATGAAAACAGGGTAACCCGTTGCCTGCATGCAAGTAACCCCAAATTAATCCAACAAGAACTGAAAACAAGGTAACAATAATAGTAACGCTGTTTGATACAGAGCGCTTGTGACTTACTGTTTTGCCTTCTAGGAGACCCCAAGTACCAAGAGCCAAAGCAGGAGCACAACATATAGCTGCGTTAAGTCTTCCATCTGTGTCTTGTTTCTTCACCATGTTCTCTAATGGTTTGCAGTTTTTAAGAGTCTCGCCACCGGGAAGCCCTCCCTTTTTACCAGTCATATAATCAATATTAATATCAATCAAACATCAAAGGAAATTATTCTATGAACTAGTTTTATACATGCATAGAAGAAATCAACTTTTGTAATTGTAACCAACGTTCTTGGTGGGAAGTAGTACTGAACATGGCTAGTGATAATTGGTTAAAGAAAAAAACTTACGGGGAGAACAATAAGGTCGAAAATGGATTCGGTGATATCAGAGAGGAGAGTATCAGCGACCATCTTGATGCCATGACAAGCATCAACGCCAACTTTATCTTCCACGGACGCAACCGTCACGTCAGCACCACCTCGGCGCAACACGGTGATCATCGCCACCGCTTCTAGAGGCTCAGTACCATGAGCAATAGGGATCATAACCTACAAAAAAACTCGAATCATCAAGCGAAACTCCCAATAATAAAAGGAAAAACGACGTACGAGGAGGAAAACAATGATCTCTTACCGTCTTAGTAGATGAAGCCATAG